ACATGGAGGGTCACGGTGGTGCAAGCTCTGTGCTTTCACCTCTTGAGCCGTCCTGACCACTTCCGAATGGAATGGTTAAGAATCGCTGCCGCGCTACTGTGAATTATAAGGCGGCGCATGTTAATGTGAATCGTATTGCACTAAAAGAGATTGCGCGCTAACCCAAATAATGAACCAATGTTTATATTACTATTAATCTTTTCCTGGATGATTAAGTCATAATAATCACTACTCCTTATCCCAACATTATCAATGCTATACATCACCAAAACCATTACCATCACCACCGTCAGAATTCTTATTCATTTAATGCTACCTGTCACAAAAAACACTTCTACCGTCAATTTTTATACCATCACCTTCACCCTCAATGTTTATCCATCAATGCTATCCATCACCAAAACCACCAACATCATCGTCACCACCGTAAACAACCATGCCACCACCACCACAATTTCACACACCGTCTCGTCGTGAACAAAACTGTATCGATGTTTTGTTATTACACTTTTAATGTATTTTAAAAGTCAAATAAAACTTTACAGTCCTTTAAAATACCAACAAAAACATTAATGTTTAGCTGTTTCTTTCTAACTACCAAATACTGCTTGGCTTATAAGCATAGTCATTGCAACTACACACACAAGGCAGCGAAGGTGCATATGTTTGGCATAAGCTTCCTTAGTTTTCAGGAATTCACTTCTAAATTTCCCTTCAAACAGTTGCGATGACGAGCCATTGCAGACCAGTCTATTTAGTGTAGCGTAAACACCGTGCAGGCTGAGTTTTGAATGTGCATGGGGGAACGTTGGCAACAGCTTACAATGACAAAACATTGACACAACGTGAAACGCCTTAACACAAAACATGCTAACACACAACATGATACATGCCTAACAAACGGCAAACACTGATAACGTCGTGAAACGCATGCCTTAAACACCAACACGAAATGACTTTACCAACAACACAACACGAAATACTGGGTCTTACAAATACAACACATACTAGTATACACTGTAAAACATGCCTCATGAAGACAACGTCAATACAACACGGAATGATAAATGTCACACTACCAAAACACAACATGGAACAACAAAATGCATTTACTAACAACTGCTTTGATCTGAGTGCGTGGAGATGTGTGACCTCTACTGTGACCTTAGCCACCGTGGTTGTATTTTTGGGGCCGAACGATTTGTGGGGAAGTGCCCTACCTTATTACAGACCAATTAATGTCCACGTTCATCCTACAAAGTCCCATCACAAGGGAGAAACACAATTAGACAAAAATAAAAACATTGTTGCCCGGATTGAAACGGATTTACGCCGTATGGACCTGAAAACGCAATTTCCCTTACAAGAATACGGGGTAAGCCGTATCGGTTGACAGGTCTGGGTTTGAATGGAGAGGGCCCCATTACCAATATAGCTGACAAGCACTGTATTCGGGTCAGGGTTACGCTGAAGTTTTAATGGTAGCAACTTAGCAACAAAGTTGCTTGTAACTGTGGTGTTGTTCAGGTTGCGCCAGTAATAAAGTCACGAATAATAGCATTCTTTGTTCGAAGTCGCTAATGTGGATGTTGTTGTTGCGCATGCAACGGTTCAGTGAGCTTACGTGGGCTATCACAGTAAAGTGAAATGTTAATTTAACGTTAAATAATTTTGTATACTGTATATCACGAGCCAAGGCAGGCGCATCCCCTTGCCTGGATCCCCGCCGGGTTTAAAGTGGCCCGCCTGGGTCAGCCATCCAGGCAAGAGGGGAGGGCGGGCGGCGGCCCTTCACAGCCCCTGCTAATTAATGATTTAACGCATCCCTAGCGATAATTTACTATTGTGGGCTCGGTACTGTGCAACTATTGCGCGACAGAAGCGGTACAGTTGCAGCCTTTAACACGTGAAATGTTGCGCAACGTTTTCATAATGCAACGTTTCGTACAGGAGAGTTGAATAATTTCACTTCACTTTTAGGGAGTTAGCAGGGTCAGTCATCGGTTCCACGACAGCGAAAACGGGATATCTTGTGACATACGCTTCTCTCTGGTCGATTGTGTGACTTTTGTAAATATATCTTCCGTTTCCCCCCATACATAAACTCCACGATGAATTAATGTACAACAGAAAGCAACTAATTTTCTGGAGAGTAACACTACATCATAGTTTCCATGAAGTTCACTCGATGTTGAGGACTGCGGTCTATAAACACTGACTGTATTTCACTACCAGACTGCTGGTCACAACTAAACACTCACTCTCCCACTCATTCACTCGCTCTCCCACTCATTCACTCACTCTCCCACTCATTCACTCACTCTCCCACTCATTCACTCACTCTCCCACTCATTCACTCACTCTCCCACTCATTCACTCACTCTCCCACTCATTCACTCACTCATTCACTCACTCTCCCACTCATTCACTCACTCTCCCACTCATTCACTCACTCTCCCACTCATTCACTCACTCTCCCACTCATTCACCCACTCTCCCACTCATTCACTCACTCTCCCACTCATCCACCCACTCTCACACTCATTCACTCACTCTCCCACTCATTCACTCACTCTCCCACTCATTCACTCACTCCCCCACTCATTCACTCACTGTCCCACTGATTCACTCACTCTCCCACTCATTCACTCACTCTCCCACTCATTCACTCACTCTCCCACTCATTCACTCACTGTCCCACTGATTCACTCACTGTCCCACTGATTCACTCACTCTCCCACTCATTCACTCATTCACTCACTCATTCACTCACTCTCCCACTCATTCACTCACTCTCCCACTCATTCACCCACTCTCCCACTCATTGACTCACTCTCCCACTCATTCACCCACTCTCCCACTCATTCACTCACTCTCCCACTCATTCACTCACTGTCCCACTGATTCACTCACTCCCACTCATTCACTCACTCTCCCACTCATTCACTCACTCTCCCACTCATTCACTCACTGTCACACTGATTCACTCCCACTCATTCACTCACTCTCCCACTCATTCACTCGCTCTCCCACTCATTCACTCACTGTCCCACTCATTCACTCACTTTCCCACTCATTCACCCACTCATTCACTCACTCTCCCACTCATTCACTCACTGTCCCACAGATTCACTCACTCCCACTCATTCACGCACTCTCCCACTCATTCACTCACTCTCCCACTCATTCACTCACTGTCCCACTCATTCACTCCTCCACTAATTCACTCACTCTCCCACTCATTCACTCACTCATTCACTCACTCTCCCACTCATTCACCCACTCTCCCACTCATTCACTCACTCTCCCACTCATTCACTCACTGTCCCACTGATTCACTCACTCCCACTCATTCACTCACTCTCCCACTCATTCACTCACTGTCCCACTCATTCACTCACTCTCCCACTCATTCCTCCACTAATTTACTCACTCTCCCACTCATTCACTCACTCTCCCACTCATTTACTCACTCCTCCACAAATTCACTCACTCTCCCACTCATTCACTCACTGTCCCACTCATTCACTCACTCTCCCACTCATCCACTCACACCTCCACTAATTCACTCACTCTCCCATTCATTCACTCACTCTCCCACTCATTCACTCGCTCACCACACTGCAGGTCACAACTACACACTCACTCTCCCACTCATTCACTCACTCTCCCACTCATTCACCACACTGCAGGCCATATCACTTCTCTTTCTACTTCTTCCCACTCACTGCTCCACTCTGGAATTCTCTCCCATCGTCTCTTTCCCTAAGTCCTTATAATAATAATAATCTGTTATCTATTATACCTGTTTGTTGCTGGCCGCTGAGCGTGTTGGGCCTCTCAGCCTGTGCTCAACAACTGAGATTTATTTGTATTTGTCTTAAACGTGGCAGTGCAGACCAAACCCGAGCAGCTGCGCTTTCTACAACTTTAAGTCGTTTGTCAGCCCACGAAAACGTATCTGGACTTAACCATATAACGTTCAAATGTATGCGCTTTTACCTTTTGTGTACACAATGAATGGTGGCTTGGCTGCGATTCGTCACTTGTCTACAATTCCGAGCATCTGGTTTTACTTGGGGCAGGTTTCCCAAACTCGAATCTTCACCACGGTTCGTCTTTCCAGCCCATTGCTTGACCGTCATTGAAACGGTGAGAACCCATTCGGACTTGAAAGATATTTTCCACGAGAGACCCGAGGCAACAAGTAATAGCCAACGCACAGGAGCATCCCAAAGTAGCATTACAACTTATTCAATAACGGGGACATCCTGATTAAGAGCGCCCATAATTGCAACCAATGATCTCGGCAATGGTGACTCGGTTCGTTACGTGGGCGTCTAAGCCACCGAAATAGAAGCCCCTCAGTTATGTTATCGATTATGCGTATTTGGGGGGGGTTCCCCCCACGTCACAGAGCTTTATTTTCCACGTTCCCCGGAGCCACCGGGAAGCAAGCCAGCTCAGCTCATATGAACTGCGCGAGTGGGCTCAGCTTGAATTCCCAGGGCCAAGCCAGTACTTAACCTGGCTCTGTGGCTCACTTGAACTTGGCTGCGTGGCTCCTGTTCCTAAAGGAACTGCATGCTCTCACCTGGACCGTCCCTTGGCAAGGCATAAGAGAGACACGGGGTCAGTGGCGTTTCTCGCCGAGGTCAATGTATACTATAAACTATTTTATTTTACTTGGTAAGCCCCACCGAACTATTCGCTCTTCTTTTCAAAAGCGACCTGGTCACAAATGATAGCTCAACGAAAGTGGCTTATCGTGTGGGAATTTATAGAATCTAGAATTTATAGCAGCCAAAGAATCTAATCAACGTAACGGCCGTGTTTTTGTTAGAAGAAAACATGGCAGGAAATTTACATAAAACATGGAATGATGATACATGTTAGCATAGGATGGCGTAATTGAATCGAAGCATACGTTACACCTTGCTAAAACACAAATCGTGACCCTTTCCCTCCGGCCATGGAGAGAAAGGAGGTGGAGGGGGGGAGCAGAGAGCACGAGAGAGGCAGAGAACAACACAACGGAGTCCGCTGCCGACCCCGGGCCGTCTCGGCGCGGCTCAGGTCCGCTTCCCGACAGCCGTGGAAACGCGGCGTCAGTCCCTGTTGACCTCCAAGGGCGCCACCTGCAGCAGCAGCTGGAGGTGGGTGGTGATGCGGGACATGCCCGCGTAGCGCACGCCCAGGTGCACGAAGGGCACGTAGAAGAGGAGGCCGCTGAGGATGAAGGCCACCACGTAGAGGTACTCGATGTGCGGCTCCTCCAGGATGGGCGCCAGCACGAGGCACGCGGCCGTGATCACCACGAGCACCGGCGCCGCGAGGGGAACCTGCGGAGGAGAGAGGATCGCGAGGGTCTCCCGTCGCTAGCTTTGCGAGTACGAGGGGAGAGTTCCCGAGTTTCTAAAGGATCGATGACGTGGGGAATGCAGCAGCGGCCTCTGTAATAAATGCGGTTTTTGTTTTTTTGGTCGAGTGCCCTTTACGCTGGGCTGCCTCAATTGCTAAGCACGAGATAAGCGATTTGGATCCACACCTCCGATTAGCACGGTTGGCTATGCACGGTGCGAAAGAAGTTCAACGTACGCGCAATACCATGTCATCTCCAGAGTTATTAAAGGGCACCCCCAATGGCAGCTGTCCCATGTTCCGACACAATTTGTTGCGTAGGTTCGCGGTGCAGATACGGCGTGCCGCCCTGGTTATCGATGCGGGTGCAATGACCACGATATCCACGCCGTCGGCTTGACGGCGAACATTAAAGAACCCGCAATGTCATTCGAAACTAGTGGGGTCATTGTGTGCTGGCGTCCTCATGGTCCATAGTTTACAAATATTACACCGCAAATTACTCAATTCGGATTTCGCACGGCAATACATAGCGCCTTCCTCGGTGATGGCCTTGCGTCCTTAAGAGTACCGCAAATAGCAAATGTACTCAATTGTTATAATTATGGAATGATGATGCCATCGTTACACAGCTCCTGAACGTAAATAATTGGGATTATACAGTACCGTACGTAGCAAAACATGGCAGGAAACAAAGAGTTGTAAGATTCAGCAAAGCTTTCCTGGGTTAACAAGTGTTATCGTAATAATAACCAATAAGTAGAGGTTTTACCCTTTCTGACAATAAACAGGTGTTACAATCTTCAAACACCAGATAGATACTTTTGCAAGGAATCAAGTCTGCATTAACCACACGTACTTGTGGCAAAACATGCAAACAAACACGCTCTGATAATAATGCATGCATTATTTTGAAACTGATTGGCCTCGTCTCACGAGTGTCAGACCAGAGAATGCCAAAAGACGAACAGTGCAAAGACAATGCAAATAGCAGAGGTGTTAAGATGATCAGAAATCAAATAATGTCGTTACATCTACAGAATTTGGTGTTTGAACATCTCAACGCCTGTTTTATTGCCAGAAAGTGTAAACCCTATTCTTATTTTTCGCACTTTGATCCTGACATAAAAAGGTCCCGTATAAATAATAATAAAAACAATTCTAACAACGACGACGAGTGACGATGAAGTTGGGCACGAACCTTGTACGGCCGGGGGCTGTCGGGTCTCACGTAGCGGAGGTAGAGCAGCGAGGAGACGGTGATGCCGTAGAAAAACCAGGACGTGAAGCTGGGGGTACAGCAGATTGGGAGGGGGGCGGCGGTGGTGGGGAGCGGTGAGGGTGGCGACGTCACTGAGCGGAGGTGGGGGGCATAGCTAGGAGAGGGGGGAGAAGGGAGGTGCGGGCGAGGAGTAGTGCCACGGGGTATTCCTAAAGCCGGGTCCACGCCTGAACAATCAGTTGGCTTCATGTGGATTTGAAACCTCTGCAACCGGTTGCAGTCAGTTGCGCGAGTTGGTTGCATGCAACTTGAGTTGCTGACGTGGGCGTCTCTGCAACGGGTTGCAATCGGTTGTGCAACCGGTCGCTCGCGGTAGAGTACAGACACGACTTTCAAACCGTCGATCCGCCCAAGAAAATGTTGCAGCGACGCATTTTATAAATCACCACGCGACACATTTGCGCGACCGTGATTGGCTGTGGCAATCCTGAATAGCTGCGCCATCTGACTTCCCTCCGCTGCGCGACTGCGCGCCCAGCAGTTGCGGATAAAGCGGTCGCAGACGATGATGAAGCTGCGCGATTTCCAGGGCGAATTGGTTGCACAACTAGTGAGTGGGCAACAAAGGGCAGGGCCAAGTACAGGGTGTAGGACTACGCAGGGTGGCATTTGTGGTGTATTTGTAGTTCCACCTGCAACTGCGGAGTGGAACCAACATTCAAGTTGCATCTTTGTTTAACCAGGTGACGGCTGTTGCTTTGGAAGGCCAAAGGAGATCGTTGGACCGATGTTCGGTCGCTCGGTCGATAGCATTCGTCGTGACTTCTCAGTGAACAGGGTGGGCTGCGTGATGCACAAATGGGAAATAAATAAAAACAAGTCTCCAGTGTGCGACTGTGGGAGGTCACTCAGAACAGGAACCGTGGGACATCATAACGACTCAATGCCCGATTCGTGCGCGCGACGGAGGGGGCATCATCACAGCGGTGCGCTCCACTGCTCCTGGACGCAATGATCTGGGCTCACCGGCCCTCGGTGTAGGGTTACAGCTGCTGCGCTCCATCAACATCAGCCGGACGCAGAAGAAGGAGGAGGTGAGAATTCAAGAGACCAGGATGAGTCTCAGAGTGACCTGGCAAGAGTGATTGGACGGAGCACATAGTCAACAACTGCCGCCCATCAAGACCATTGATCGAAGGCAATTCACGAGCGCGCAACCAACGCCCTCTAAGTGTCTTCATGAACCTCGAACGCACAATGTGAAAATATTGGCTGTCGTTCCGGTACAGATGGCAATGAATCGAGTGAACGGAGCGGCTCTTTCTCAGAAAAAGAAAACGTAACTCGACAAATGTGTCAACAACACTGTGGTCTTAAAATAAATTATATATAACAGGCGACGTTTTGGGCGATGACCCTTTCTGCGTAGCATTTGTTGTCGTTAATTGTGCTTACGCAGCACTGACAGCATCACCAAATAATTTATTTCCCAAAGCAGAAATGCTTATGATTCAAAACCTGTGCATGCCTTTTACTTGTACACAGTATAGATTATTTTTTTCCATATCTTACAACACAGAACGCAGCGCAATTATCAAACGGGAGGCCTTGATGCTGTTCGTGTATCCCTTCGCGGAAACAATGGGGGGGAGGGGGGGGGGGAATTGGGTTCAGAACGTAGATATGCAGGAAAGTCCGGAAAGGTACGGCGACGAATAACCGAACAGGACGTAAATCAGAGCGCGGTTTAAGAGAGTCGGTGGTGACGAAGGCTGAGAGACGACGGATAACGAGGAAGGACGCGGACGACGATGCCGTCAGCGACGTGAGCGCGCGGGAGGCTGATGCGACGCAAATCGAGTATCGGGTGTGAATAGTACAGCGGCGACGTAGTCGCGAAACGACGTTAAAGAAAGGAGGAGACGTAAACCGGGGTATGACTGCATTGTAATAATTAGCGGGGAGATGGAGCAAGCGCCAACTTCCCTCCTCTCCCCCACAGCCCTCCACTGCAAGAGCCGAGGCGGCACCTGAAGTAGTTGACGATGGTGCCGAAGTCTCCCCAGGCGACCATGAGCAGCGAGAGCAGCGCGGTGAACATCAGGGCCGGCGCCGGGGTGAGCCGGTGCACGTGAGCCATCGACAGGATGGAGAGCTGAGCGACACGGACAAAGAAGCATCGCCCGCGGGCAGCCTTCGACAGAATCGCGGGGGGCAAGGTGGCGATGAACATCACGCCCCTTGCCGCCTTTGTCTCTCCCCAATCCGGTGCGCGTGTTTACGCACTGCACCAGGGTACTGTGTTAATTCACGGCTGAGTCGACCTAACGGAGGCACAGGTTGGATTCGGATATCTTGTCACTGTTTTTTGGTGGTGAGCGGGAATGGAACTCGACTCGCTGGGTTCGTGGCGCGGTTCGCCAACCACTACGCCACTGCTCCCCAATGAACGCGCGCACACAACGTCACACACACGTGTGTGTGAGCATCATGGGTATGAGGATTTTTAAAAAGATGATTCTCTTGATCATTATGATGATGATGATGGAGATGAAGTCGGCGGCAATGATGACATTACTGATGCGTCTCGTGCGATTATGTGATGAAGGACGATGACCAGCGTGATGGTAATGATGACGGAATTAAATTGGTGGCTATTAAAATTATATTATTGCTGTTGATGATGACGACGACCGATCATGCTGCTGTTGCTGAAAATGATGATACTATCAACGCTTATGACAATGCTGCCACGAACTGCGATGATGATGAAGCTACTCATGCTTATGTAATTGAAGATGATGATCTAAATTTAGATTTAAAGCTTTCGTGACTGCAGGGATTCATATTATTGGTTCTTTCGGTAAATTTACATTATGAGACCTCCTTTGCCAGAAACAAGATATAGGAATAGGTTTTACCCTTTTAACTGGCACAAAAACTGACACCTTTATTCAAGGCATCATGTTTGCAAAAACCACAACACAAGCAGTCAGAATGCAAACAAAAAAGACAACTCTGATAATATGCACTGTCCTTGAATTTGATTGGTCCACACCCGAGACAGCTTTTCTTAGAGCCTAGTCTCCATTGGTGTTGGACCAGAAGACGCCAAAAGGCATACAACTCAAAAACAGCGCACCATCAGAGTATTGAGGGCTCGGGGTGAGCATTTACATTATGAGACCTCCTTTGCCAGAAACAAGATATAGGAATAGGTTTTACCCTTTTAACTGGCACAAAAACTGACACCTTTATTCAAGGCATCATGTTTGCAAAAACCACAACACAAGCAGTCAGAATGCAAACAAAAAAGACAACTCTGATAATATGCACTGTCCTTGAATTTGATTGGTCCACACCCGAGACAGCTTTTCTTAGAGCCTAGTCTCCATTGGTGTTGGACCAGAAGACGCCAAAAGGCATACAACTCAAAAACAGCGCACCATCAGAGTATTGAGGGCTCGGGGTGAGCATTTACATTATGAGACCTCCTTTGCCAGAAACAAGATATAGGAATAGGTTTTACCCTTTTAACTGGCACAAAAACTGACACCTTTATTCAAGGCATCATGTTTGCAAAAACCACAACACAAGCAGTCAGAATGCAAACAAAAAAGACAACTCTGATAATATGCACTGTCCTTGAATTTGATTGGTCCACACCCGAGACAGCTTTTCTTAGAGCCTAGTCTCCATTGGTGTTGGACCAGAAGACGCCAAAAGGCATACAACTCAAAAACAGCGCACCATCAGAGTATTGAGGGCTCGGGGTGAGCATTTACATTATGAGACCTCCTTTGCCAGAAACAAGATATAGGAATAGGTTTTACCCTTTTAACTGGCACAAAAACTGACACCTTTGGCGTCTTCTGGTCCAACACCAATGGAGACTAGGCTCTAAGAAAAGCTGTCTCGGGTGTGGACCAATCAAATTCAAGGACAGTGCATATTATCAGAGTTGTCTTTTTTGTTTGCATTCTGACTGCTTGTGTTGTGGTTTTTGCAAACATGATGCCTTGAATAAAGGTGTCAGTTTTTGTGCCAGTTAAAAGGGTAAAACCTATTCCTATAGCTTGTTTCTGGCAAAGGAGGTCTCATAATGTAAATGCTCACCCCGAGCCCTCAATACTCTGATGGTGCGCTGTTTTTGAGTTGTATGCCTATTGGCGTCTTCTGGTCCAACACCAATGGAGACTAGGCTCTAAGAAAAGCTGTCTCGGGTGTGGACCAATCAAATTCAAGGACAGTGCATATTATCAGAGTTGTCTTTTTTGTTTGCATTCTGACTGCTTGTGTTGTGGTTTTTGCAAACATGATGCCTTGAATAAAGGTGTCAGTTTTTGTGCCAGTTAAAAGGGTAAAACCTATTCCTATATCTTGTTTCTGGCAAAGGAGGTCTCATAATGTAAATGCTCACCCCGAGCCCTCAATACTCTGATGGTGCGCTGTTTTTGAGTTTTATGCCTTTTGGCGTCTTCTGGTCCAACACCAATGGAGACTAGGCTCTAAGAAAAGCTGTCTCGGGTGTGGACCAATCAAATTCAAGGACAGTGCATATTATCAGAGTTGTTCTTTTTTGTTTGCATTCTGACTGCTTGTGTTGTGGTTTTTGCAAACATGATGCCTTGAATAAAGGTGTCAGTTTTTGTGCCAGTTAAAAGGGTAAAACCTATTCCTATATCTTGTTTCTGGCAAAGGAGGTCTCATAATGTAAATGCTCACCCCGAGCCCTCAATACTCTGATGGTGCGCTGTTTTTGAGTTGTATGCCTTTTGGCGTCTTCTGGTCCAACACCAATGGAGACTAGGCTCTAAGAAAAGCTGTCTCGGGTGTGGACCAATCAAATTCAAGGACAGTGCATATTATCAGAGTTGTCTTTTTTGTTTGCATTCTGACTGCTTGTGTTGTGGTTTTTGCAAACATGATGCCTTGAATAAAGGTGTCAGTTTTTGTGCCAGTTAAAAGGGTAAAACCTATTCCTATATCTTGTTTCTGGCAAAGGAGGTCTCATAATGTAAATGCTCACCCCGAGCCCTCAATACTCTGATGGTGCGCTGTTTTTGAGTTGTATGCCTTTTGGCGTCTTCTGGTCCAACACCAATGGAGACTAGGCTCTAAGAAAAGCTGTCTCGGGTGTGGACCAATCAAATTCAAGGACAGTGCATATTATCAGAGTTGTCTTTTTTGTTTGCATTCTGACTGCTTGTGTTGTGGTTTTTGCAAACATGATGCCTTGAATAAAGGTGTCAGTTTTTGTGCCAGTTAAAAGGGTAAAACCTATTCCTATCTCTTTTGGTAAAGTCACGTAGAAGGGAAACATTAAAATAATAAAAATATAAAACAATAAAATTCTCACGACGTTTCGACTGCAACACAAGCAATCATCATCAGGTGTGAAAACCACACCTGTTGATGATGCTGTGGTTTTCACACCTGATGATGATTGCTTGTGTTGCAGTCGAAACGTCGTGAGAATTTCATTGTTTTATATTTTTTTATTTTATTGTTTCCCTTGTACGTGACTTTACCGAAATAACCAAGAAGATGATGATCTAATGCCACGCGTCTTGCTTGATGCCCCCATCTTCACGTCTCGTGGCCGCCTTTCCTGATGATGACGACGCAGGCTCGTGAAACCCGATCCTCCAGAACCTCACCTCCATAACCCTAGCCCCTTCACTGCCCCCTCGGCCCCGCCCCTCACCGTGTGCCCTTCTCTGGCCGCCACGCAACACACGCGACCCCCGCAGAAGAACATCCCGTTCGCCGAGCCCAGAGTGGAGAGCGCCACCGCCACAGGCATCAGCCACGAAGCGGCCCCCATCACTCGAGCGCTGCCACGCGGGCGGAGATTCGTGGAGAGGGTGGGGGGGGGGGGTTCAGGGTCAACAGGGCACTGGTGCACAGCGGGTGGCGCTCAGTCACAGGTGGTAGTCACAGGTGGTAATGGTAGGTAGTAGTCACAGGTGGTAGTCACAGGTGGTAGTCACAGGTGGCAGTGGTAGGTGGTAGTCACAGGTGGTAGTCACAGGTGGTAGTCACAGGTGGCGCTCAGTCACAGGTGGTAGTCACAGGTGGCAGTCACAGGTAATAGTCACAGGTGGCGCTCAGTCACAGGTGGTAGTCACAGGTGGTAGTGGTAGGTGGTAGTCACAGGTGGTAGTCACAGGTCGCGCTCAGTCACAGGTGGTAGTCACAGGTGGTAGTCACAGGTGACAGTGGTAGGTGGTAGTCACAGGTGGTAGTGGTAGGTGGTAGTCACAGGTGACAGTGGTAGGTGGTAGTCACAGGTGGTAGTCACAGGTGGTAGTCACAGGTGGCGCTCAGTCACAGGTGGCAGTCACAGGTGACAGTGGTAAGTGGTAGTCACAGGTGGTAGTCACAGGTGGTAATGGTAGGTGGTAGTCACAGGTGGTAGTCACAGGTGGCGCTCAGTCACAGGTGGTAGTCACAGGTGGCGCTCAGTCACACGTGCCACTAAGTCAAAGGTGGCAGTCACAGGTAGTAGTCACAAGTCGCGTTCAGTCACAGGTGGTACCCAGTCACAGGTGGCACTCAGTGGCGAGAATGGACAACTTAGTTTTAAAGTTTACAGTCAATAATGTGGTCATGGTTGTGTTTACATACATCAAGGGTCATAGGTCATTTATAGCCACGATCTATTGAATCATTGTGGATTTACGATCTCAGCCTGATGATCAGAGAGTACACGCATATACAAAAATCCTCATCATATTAAACTTGATTCTGCGTTTAATTGTATGATACTGCATATGCATCTCTCAGAATTAAAAAGGCAGCTTTGCCTGTCGTGCGTCAAAACAATTATCTCTGTGGCAGCGTGGGTGGGTGGGCAAGGAAATGCTGTCTCTTATAATGCGGACCAGAGGTCACTTGAAGGCATCTCATCCGATTCTGCGGGACATTTCTCCGAATGGATTCTCCGTCTCTTATGCCATGAGACGGAGAATCTATTCGGGTGGTGATGGTGGCGGCTACGCTCCTGCTGCTGCAACATCGTTGGGCAAGGTCATTTGACACAAGACGGCTCTGGGAAGGCCGAGATAAAAACAAAAAATAAGAAGATCTCACCCCCACGTCCAGGCGACGGCGCTGGAGGAGAGAATCTCTGCGGGGGTCATCGCCGCCAGGTAGCTCATGTTCACGAACAGGTAGAGCAGCGTGACCATGGGCAGGGCGATGAGGATGGCACGGGGCAGGGTCACCTGCCGTGAACACGCGTGAGCGGCCATCAACGCGCATGCACGCGCGTCGACGCACGTGAAAACACGCGTGGGTTCACGTGTGTGTTCACGTGTGTGAGCACACACGTGAACACACACGTGGAGCACACACGTGAGCACGCTCGTGGCGCACACACGTGGAGCACACACGTGGAGCATGCACGTGAGTACACACGTGGAGCACGCACGTGGAGCACGCACGTGGAGCACGCTCGTGGAGCACGCTTGTGGAGCACACACGTGGAGCACACACGTGAGCACACACGTGGAGCACGCACGTGGAGCACGCACGTGGAGCACGCTCGTGGAGCACGCTTGTGGAGCACACACGTGGAGCACACACGTGAGCACACACGTGGAGCATGCGCGTGGAGTACACACGTGAGCACGCACGTGAGCACGCAGATGAAACGTACGTAGCCACTGCAGCCGCCGCTCGCCGCTACGTGGCGGTGACGTCACTACGGCGCTCGAGCCAGGCTAGGTGCACTTTGAACGTGCGTGTGCGCACGTGAGTTTTAGATTGACACAACGTGGACGGATGCGCGCGAAACGGGCAGGCGCTGTCTGTGTGCGAGCTCCCTGTTGTTGCCATGCAGCGGGCTAAGCTACCAGTGGAGGCTGGAGGCCAGAACAGAAAAACACATTTTTCGTACGGAAATTATAGAAATTATATGCCCCCATTCTTGATTTGAAGCTTTCGTGACTGCAGGAATCCATACTCTTTGGTCATTTCGGTAATGTCACGCAGGTATAAATATAATGCTTCAGCAGTTTTGTTCCTGCTGAGGTTGTCCCACCTGATGACGATCGCTTGTCCTGCAATAGAAACGTCGTGATCTATTATTTTTCTACCTACGTGACTTTATCGAAAGAACCAAAGAGTATATGCCCACATGTTTAAGATCCCCGCCTTCAACAACCCGCTGTTGTTTAAGGCGGCGGTGTTTGCGGTGTAACAGTGGTAATTGTGTTGGTGGTGATCGTGGCGGTGGCAATGGTGATGGTGTTTTAATTGTATAGTTACGAACCATCATTCAATGGTGCAGGTGTACGGGTGGTGGTTTCGCTTTTCCCAAACACAGTGGTAGTGTTTGGGAAGTATTTGTGCCGCCTGAAACCAAACATACGACACATGTACGGAGACCGTTCACTAAACACTGCAAACGTCTAATGGTAGGTGAGGAAGAAATGAGTGAATGAATGAACAATGATTCATGCTGGTGGTGCATCCCTGTGGTCTCGCGGAGAAGGAGTAAAATCGCGGAAAAGACGATGAGTGTTCAGTTACGTCCGCCACTGAGCAATATGGATGCAAAATAATAAAAATAAAATTAGTATAATAAAATGAAGACCGCTTGTGTTGCGATCGAAACGTCGTGGGTTTTTTGCTTTTATTATTTTCTATTTATTATCATTTTTGAAAATGTTTTCTATTTACGTGACATTACCGAAAGAACCAAGAAAATGAATTCCTGCAATCACGAAAGTTTTAAGTCAAAATATACGCAGAATTGACGGTTTAATACGTTCTAAGAGAAAATAGCACACTAATCAACACGATTCCAGCCCTACTTTGAGCAAACTAGCCCAACAGGATGTCTTACTTCCCCTCTTGGTAACCATAACAAACTTACCATCCATCCACGAGTGCTTATAACTAACCCAGGCAAACTATCCAATTAGCCACGAGTATATAGCGACTAGGACTCTCCCTCCAGCTAACACTCACCAACGTGCCCACCAGCGACTAGGACTCTCCCTCCAGCTAACACTCACCAAAGTGCCCACCAGCGACTAGGACTCTCCCTCCAGCTAACACTCACCAACGTGCCCACCAGCGACTAGGACTCTCCCTCCAGCTAACACTCACCAACGTGCCCACCAGCGACTAGGACTCTCCCTCCAGCTAACACTCACCAAAGTGCCCACCAGCGACTAGGACTCTCCCTCCAGCTAACACTCACCAAAGTGCCCACCAGCGACTAGGACTCTCCCTCCAGCTAAGACTCACCAACGTGCCCACCAGCGACTAGGACTCTCCCTCCAGCTAACACTCACCAACGTGCCCACTAGCGACTAGGACTCTCCCTCCAGCTAACACTCACCAAAGTGCCCACCAGCGACTAGGACTCTCCCTCCAGCTAAGACTCACCAAAGTACCCACCAGCGACTAGGACTCTCCCTCCAGCTAACACTCACCAACGTGCTCACCAGCGACTAGGACTCTCCCTCCAGCTAACACTCACCAACGTGCTCACCAGCGACTAGGACTCTCCCTCCAGCTAACACTCACCAACGTGCCCAACAGCGACTAGTACTCTCCCTCCAGCTAACACTCACCAACGTGCCCACCAGCGACTAGGACTCTCCCTCCAGCTAACACTCACCAACGTGCCCACCAGCGACTAGGACTCTCCCTCCAGCTAACACTCACCAACGTGCCCACCAGCGACTAGGACTCTCCCTCCAGCTAACACTCACCAACGTGCTCACCAGCGACTTGGACTCTCCCTCCAGCTAAGACTCACCAACGTGCTCACCAGCGACTAGGACTCTCCCTCCAGCTAACACTCACCAACGTGCCCACCAGCGACTAGGACTCTCCCTCCAGCTAACACTCACCAACGTGCCCACCAGCGACTAGGACTCTCCCTCCAGCTAACACTCACCAAAGTGCCCACCAGCGACTAGGACTCTCCCTCCAGCTAAGACTCACCAACGTGCTCACCAGCGACTAGGACTCTCCCTCCAGCTAACACTCACCAACGTGCCCACCAGCGACTAGGACTCTCCCTCCAGCTAACACTCACCAACGTGCCCAACAGCGACGACCTGCCCTCCCATCGGCGCTCTCCCCACTCAAACCCCTCGCCCCACCTTGTGCCCCCTCCCAATCATCCGGCACCCACCTCGGGTCTCCCCAGCTCCTCTGTCACGAAGTTCAGGTTGTTCCAGCCGTCGTAGGACCACAGTCCCTGGTAGAAGGCGAGTCCGATAGACGAGGTCGACGCCGCGGGTTGCCCCGCGGCCGCACCGGCGGCAGCCGCGGCCGCACCTGCGTCGGCGTCGGTGGCCCCGGAGACGTCGCTCGACGCCGCCGACGTCGACACGGCGACGAACGCGTCCGTGAGGCCGTGCACGGCTGCGCCGCGCGCCAGCAGCACCACGCCGCCCAGCGCCACGGCGCTCAGCGCGGCCACCTTCACCGCGGTACACGCGTTCTGGAGGCCCGCGGCCAGGCGCACGCTCGCGCAGTTGACGAGCGCAAGCGCCACGACGCACGCGGCGGCCAGCGAGCGCGTGACGAGCGGCGGCGGCCCCGCGGCGCCGCACTCGGGGTAGAAGGGGGCGGCCGCGTAGCGCGCGAAGCTGAGGGCCCCCGCGGCGATGCTGGCGGGGCGCACCACAAGCACGGAGCTCCAGGCGAAGAGAAAGGCGGGCACGGGGCCGTAGGTGCGCAGAGCGTAGATGTAGTCGCCGCCCGACTCCCGCATCAGAGTGCCCAGCTCGGCGTAGCACAGCGCGCCCAGCGTGGCCAGCACTCCGCAGGCCAGCCACACCAGCAGGCTGGCGCCCGCGCTGCCGGCGTAGCGCAGCACCCAGCCGGGGGACATGAAAATGCCCGATCCGATCATCGTTCCGGCGATGAGAGACGCGCCGCTCATGAGTCCCAGCTCCCGCTGTAGGTGCAGCTTGCTCGTGCTGCTGCTGCTGCTCGTGCTGCTGCTCGTGGTGGCAGGTGCGGCATCTGGGGTGTCCGTCCCTGGCAATCGCGTGGCATGAGCTGATGGTAGTGGTGGTGGTGATGTGCGCGCCGTGATGGCTGTGGTGGGTGATGACGTCGTGGGGCTGTGGGGCGCGCAACGCGGCGCGCCCCCACGCCGGCGTGGCCGTGGGGGCATCGGTCTGGGTGATGAGTGATGGGTGTGATGTGGGGTTTGTCGGTGATGGGTGATGGGTGTGATGTGGGGTTTGTCGGTGATGGGTGATGGGTGTGATGTGGGGTTTGTCGGTGATGGGTGAGACGTGGGGTTTGTCGGTGATGGGTGAGACGTGGGGTTTGTCGGTGATGGGTGATGGGTGTGATGTGGGGTTTGTCGGTGATGGGTGTGATGTGGGGTTTGTCGGTGATGGGTGATGGGTGTGATGTGGGGTTTGTCGGTGATGGGTGTGATGTGGGGTTTGTCGGTGATGGGTGTGATGTGGGGTTTGTCGGTGATGGGTGATGGGTGTGATGTGGGGTTTGTCGGTGATGGGTGAGACGTGGGGTTTGTCGGTGATGGGTGAGACGTGGGGTTTGTCGGTGATGGGTGATGGGTGTGATGTGGGGTTTGTTGGTGATGAGTGATGGGTGTGATGTGGGGTTTGTCGGTGATGGGTGTGATGTGGGGTTTGTCGGTGATGGGTGTGATGTGGGGTTTGTCGGTGATGGGTGTGATGTGGGGTTTGTCGGTGATGGGTGTGATGTGGGGTTTGTCGGTGATGGGTGATGGATGTGATGTGGGGTTTGTCGGTGATGGGTGTGATGTGGGGTTTGTCGGTGATGGGTGTGATGTGGGGTTTGTCGGTGATGGGTGTGATGTGGGGTTTGTCGGTGATGGGTGTGATGTGGGGTTTGTCGGTGATGGGTGAGATGTGGGGTTTGTCGGTGATGGGTGATGGGTGTGATGTGGGGTTTATGGGTGATGGGTGATAGGTGTGATGTGAGGTTTATCGGTGATGGGAGTGTGTGGAGATTGCCAGAGTACGGCACCTAGAGTAGGAGTTATAACTGTTATCACCAGCAACATAAACAATCACATAATCATCATTGCTACCAACTGCATGCGATCATTATTACCATCAAGTTAATCAAATCATCATCACTATCGTCACTGCCAACTCCATATAATCACCATCATCATTAGCAACAGTAGCAGATCATCATTACTACTAATTTCACATCATTCTTTTGCCAACTTCATCAATTCATCATCATCGCCAACTTATTCATCATCAGTAATACGGAAATGTAAACTTTTTAAAGGCACCCGCATATCGTTGTTATAGTTTTCATCTCTGAAATGTGTGATCGCTTTTGCAGTACAGCTCAACGGCAGCCCCTCTTGCAAACAGGGTCGTGTTGACCTTCAAGGCACTCACCTGACCTTCACAAGACATTCACTTGAAACTCACACACTCACCACTCACCGAACACTCACCACATATTCACAGCTCATAAGATGCACACTTGACCACCCATCAGACACAGGACAATCACCGAACTCACACTCACCAGAGACTTCCCATTCATCATAAATAAACTACTCACCAGACACACACACCCTCACCACTCACCAAACTCAAAACACAAACAACACTCTTAAGGTTGTAACGAATGAGCGTTAACACGTTTCGTGAATTACAAGAACTTGGGGAAACAGACGATGTGAGGACGGACATCCAAAGTGGAGCAATGCAAAGAAAACAACATAAAGATACGTTTTGTGACCTGCAGTGTGGTGAGTGGGTGAGTGAGTGAGTGGGTGAGTGAGTGAGTGGGTGAGTGAGTGAGTGGGTGAGTGAGTGAGTGGGTGAGTGAGTGAGTGGGTGAGTGAGTGGGTGAGTGATTGGGTGGGTGAGTGAATGAGTGGGTGAGTGAGTGGGTGGGTGAGTGAGTGGGTGAGTGGATGAGTGAGTGGGTGGGTGAGTGAGTGGGTGGGTGAGTGGGTGAGTAAGTGGGTGAGTGAGTGAGTAAGTGGGTGAGTGGGTGAGTGAGTGGGTGGGTGGGTGAGTGAGTGAGTGAGTGGGTGAGTGAGTGAGTGGGTGAGTGAGTGAGTGGGTAGGTGGGTGAGTGGGTGGGTGGGTGGGTGAGTGGGTGAGTGAGTGGGTGAGTGAGTGAGTGAGTGGGTAGGTGAGTGAGTGGGTGAGTGGGTGGGTGAGTGAGTGAGTGGGTGAGTGAGTGGGTGAGTGAGTGAGTGGGTGAGTGAGTGAGTGAGTGGGTGAGTGAGTGAGTGGGTGAGTGAGTGGGTGGGTGGGTGAGTTAGTGAATGAGTGGGTGAGTGAGGGGGTGAGTGTGGGGGTGAGTGAGTGGGTGAGTGAGTGGCTGGGTGAGTGAGTGGGTGGGTGAGTGAGTGAGTGAGTGGGTGAATGAGTGGGTGAGTGAGTGGGTGGGTGAGTGAGTGAGTGGGTAAGTGGGTGGGTGGGTGAGTGAGTGAGTGGGTGGGTGGGTGAGTGAGTGGGTGGGTGAGTGAGTGGGTAGATAAGTGAGTGAGTGGGTGGGTGAGTGGGTGAGTGGGTGAGTGGGTGAGTGGGTGGGTGGGTGAGTGGGTGAGTGAGTGGGTGAGTGGGTGAGTGAGTGAGTGGGTAGGTGAGTGAGTGGGTGAGTGGGTGAGGGGGTGGGTGAGTGAGTGAGTGAGTGGGTGGGTGAGTGAGTGGGTGAGTGAATGGGTGGGTGAGTGAGTGGGTGGGTAGGTGAGTGAGTGAGTGAATGAGTGGGTGAGTGAGTGGGTGAGTGAGTGAGTGGGTGAGTGGGTGAGTGGGTGGGTGAGTGAGTGTTGTTATGTGGAGCGGTAGTGTAGCAATTAGCACGCTGCGGTGCGAACCCGCCCTACCGAGTTCGATTTCCGCTCACGGCCACCAACACCAGCGGCGATTATCTGAATCGGTCTCGGGCCTCCCTGCCGTGCCCGGTTTTCTTGAGTGCTCGCTAACAGCACTTGCCCCCAACAGTCTGTTAATGCTATACGGGGGATCGTTGCCTTTGTTGTGTGCCGTCGTGACCTGCAGTGTTGGTGGTTGAACACGGTTAGTGTCGATGAGACGAAAGTCACTCTGGTGGACCGAGTCCTCAACACGGGAGGAAGAGTAGATCAGCGAAGTGTGCGGAAACAGCGGTCGAAGGACGATAAGGATGCGGATTTGAACGTCGCAGTCCGCATCATCTCAGAAACATAGCAAAGATCACGCCCCTTTTCTCTCTCGCTCTACGACTGAGAGACTGATGCATGCTTTTACCACCAATTTACTTGTTAAATTGCAACTTATTCAGAATGCAGTGGCACGTGTACTGACGAAAACCAGAAAGAGCACAAAAGTAACACCCATTTTACGATCCTTGCATTGGCTGCCAGTGAGTCATATAATTGAATTTAAAACTCTTCTATTGGTTTTTAAGTCGTTGAATGGTCTGGGACCTGGAAACATGTCTTCCATGCTTTTAAGATATGAACCAACAATATTCCTCAGATCCTCTGGTACTGGTATTTTAGTTGTCCCAAAGGCTAGGACCAAACCCTAGGGAAAAGCAACTTTTCGTGTTTACAGTCCTCGCCTGTGGAACAGCCTGCCAGGGGGATCTGAGGGCTCCAGAATCATTAAGCACTTTTAAAATAAATCTAAAAATCTACTTTTTAAAACTTGCTTTTAAGAAGGATTCTCTAAATGTTTCATTTTGATCATACCTTCGCTTAGAAAAATGTTACAACGTGATTTTATTTTGCCTAAAATTTCACTTTTATTGTTCATGCCTGTAAAGCACTGTGCATCACTTTTTTGCACGAATAGTGCTCTCGAAATAAAGTTGTATTGATTGACTGAACGCCGGTGAGTGAGCGAGCGAGTGACTGGAGTGAATTCATAGATGCTGCACCGTTAAATCACCCTTACATCCTATGAAGTGCAGGGAGGTATGGAACTGGATGCTCAAGCCCAGAAATGACTGCTCCGCACCAATTCCCGGGCGGTGGCACGGCCCCGCGTGAGCCCGTTCGCCCCTCGTTGCAGAGGTTCGCGGTTCGAATTTCAGCGCCTGCCCTGAACAACACTGCGGTAGTGCGATAAACAATAAAATACTGCGCGCCGTACGCTTCACAGTGGACGTTAAAGATTCAGCGAGGTCGTTCGCAAGAGTGTCGGTCATCGTGTGTCGGCGTCAGCGGTCCAAATTGAAGATTTTTTTTTTTAAACCTGAAAATCACTCAATTCGGATTACATAGCAGCAGTAGCAATCATCGCGCAACTACTGCAAAAACAACTTGGCAGGACCCTCCTGATAAATAAAGAGTCGTGAGACTCAATTCAGGCTTTCTTGAGTAAACGAGCGTCACAACAATAATAATGATGCACGTTTTGTGATGAAGCTAAAAAAAAATCGCGTTTCTTCGTGTCGCATGACATGGCGTGAGTTCTCACCTCAAAGTGCCCGCAAGGTGGAACAGCGGAGGAGTTTCCGCAGGAGCGGCATTGGGAGCCGGCGGGCGAGTGAGCGAGAGGGCTCACATTGGTGGGAGCCAGCGAGTGAGTGAGTGAGAGGGCTCACATTGGTGGGAGCCAGCGAGTGAGTGAGTGAGAGGGCTCACATTGGTGGGAGCCAGCGAGTGAGTGAGTGAGAGGGCTCACGCCGGTGGGAGCCAGCGAGTGAGTGAGAGGGCTCACACCGCTGGGAGCCAGCGAGTGAGTGAGTGAGAGGGCTCACACCGCTGGGAGCCAGCGAGTGAGTGAGTGAGAGGGGTCACACCGCTGGGAGCCGGCGAGTGAGTGAGCGAGAGGGGTCACACCGCTGGGAGCCAGCGAGTGAGTGAGTGAGAGGGGTCACACCGCTGGGAGCCGGCGAGTGAGTGAGCGAGAGGGGTCACACCGCTGGGAGCCAGCGAATGAGTGAGCGAGAGGGGTCACACCGCTGGGAGCCAGCGAGTGAGTGAGAGGGCTCACACCGCTGTGAGCCAGCGAGTGAGTGAGAGGGCTCACACCGCTGGGAGCCGGCGAGTGAGTGAGTGAGAGTGCTCACACCGCTGGGAGCCAGCGAGTGAGAGGGCTCACACCGCTGGGAACCGGCGAGTGAGTGAGTGAGAGTGCTCACACCGCTGGGAGCCAGCGAGTGAGTGAGTGAGAGGGGTCACACCGCTGGGAGCCAGCGAGTGAGTGAGTGAGAGTGCTCACACCGCTGGGAGCCAGCGAGTGAGAGGGCTCACACCGCTGGGAGCCGGCGAGTGAGTGAGTGAGAGTGAGAGGGCTCACACAGTCGTGTCTCGTGGAAACTTGGAATGTGCCTCGACTGCGGCTAATCCACTCTCCCGACCTGATCTGCATCATATTAATCGACTTAACGGGTCCATGTGCTTGTCGGGGCTGGGAATAATGCAATCCGCCCTTTGTTCTTGGAAAAAAGAGAGATTATGGCATTTTTGCGGCGATTATAAGGTGCTTTGGATTTAAATACAGTAAACGTTTATTGCTGTATCATTAATAATTTTGTTTACGCATTGTTTTTCAATTTGCAGGACTGTGCGTGAGTAAACTGTTGGGGAGTTTTTGTGTTGTTATCAACTCACCGTTTTATAACGACAAGGCGATTTTGCTGTAAGCGAGCACCTAGCACGACCACCCTGGCACAGGGGGCCCTTAGTCTTTCCCAGCGACACAAAAATAACCCACATTCGCAACTAAGTGGAGGTGACGTCGCCACGGTGCTTGTGCCAAGCTAGGTGCACATTGCGGCCACGTTATGTGTCAACGACTCGCTGGTACGAGGTCACGGGGCTGAGATTGACCGACTGAGATGACTGGCAGATACCCCACCTGCACTTCCCACTTTTCCTACTTACAGTGGTTTATCTGACCGGCGCTTTTCTTGTTGTTGTGAGACTCGCTCATCTGCCCTCCGCTGTTGTTGTTGGAGGGTGACTCCCTCTAATTGCCCAATAGAGTCCTTCACAAGCCTCCTCTACAGAGGCCGATCTTGACACCGCGAGAAGCACTCACCGGCAAGTCCAATCAGCTCCACATTACCCTGTACCACATCCTCCCATCTTTTTTCTGTCCCGTTCCGCGTCCGTTCAGCCCCCTCTATCCGGCCAAACAGACGCTGCTTGGAGACGCGATGGCAGAGCATGCGAGCTACATGGGCCAGCCAACGCTGCCTCGCCTGTCGGAGGAGCTCACTGATGGGATGGTGTCTGGAATTATATATTTTCATAACGGTGCACAGATCTTTCAAGGAGCTGTGAGCTTTTCGCACAATGGAGCCTGGACACACTTAGCATGGAACGTAGGCAGACCAGCCTGAATGTGTCAAGCTGGCACAGGTGTTATTTTAAATGGGTCCACGTTTTTTCAAGATAAGAACCCAGACAGCTTCACAAGCCAGGCATCTTCCACACACCGTGACACAGCCGATGAAAAGATGATGGAACTCAACTTATTCGCAGTGAGACCACTGCCAACCCGAAGCACGCTGCTCAAGTATCTTTTCCAGCAACACACACATATGCCCGGCCGTCTTTGTCTCCTCCTACCTCACCAGGTGTTTAGCCGAGTCGAACTAGGGGGAGACCTATGCCAGATTTAGACCACATGTAAGCATGGTTAGGGATCGAACCCAGGTTTCCAAGGGTTTTCTCATTTGGCTGCCACTCCTTTCTGAGTCTCGCCCATCGACCATTATTACCCTGTTAGCGATAAGCCCTGCCTAAGTCCGCTAACTTTCCTTTAGGAGCAGTCCATGCGTTGCTTTTTCTGTCTCTCAGCCCGATTCGAGGCGTCCCATCTCTCCATTACTAACATCACTTCTGATCCTTGGCACCATTTATTGGTCAACGTATGATAATACACACACGGGCACAATGGATACAGAAACATGCTTTGAGATTTTGATTTAAAGCTTTCGTGACTGCAGGGATTCATATTCTTGGTTCTTTCGGTAAAGTCACGTAGAAGGGAAACAATAAAATAATAAAAATATAAAACAATAAAATTCTGATGATGATTGCTTGTGTTGCAGTCGAAACGTCGTGAGAATTTTATTGTTTTATATTTTTATTATTTTATTGTTTCCCTTCTACGTGACTTTACCGAAAGAACAAAGAATATGCTTTGAGATGATTCAGATAAATTTGCTGCTATAAATGTCCAAACGATGGACCAATGTGCTGAGCTATCTTTTGTGACCAGGTCGCTTCTGAAAAACAAGTTAATACCTCAGTGGTCTTTGCCTGGTAGCACGAGGATGCTCTAGTTGTCTCTGTATGTGTTTGGGTGATTTGTTTTAACCTTTCGTGTACTTTGCACTGCTATCTTGCTTTGTACTGTTTGGTGTAACGTTTATACCCGCCCCTACTGGACATCTGTGAAAAAGAGCTTACTAGCTCATCGGATTCCTCTAGTGTAATATATGCCTCTCGCCAAAGTTGCTTAAAGCAATGTGTCAAGATATTTTCCGAATATTTAATCGGAGACACAAAGGCATAAACACAGGTTGAGAAAATGTTGCTCATCTCACTCACATTTACTGGTGGCATATTCACAACGGCAACCAATTGTACTGAACCACAGGAGTCGATCGAAGTACTTGAATACAGTTGGCTGGAAAGTTGGGCTCAAGACAAATAAGTAACGTGTGAATAATAATAATAATTCCAACTTGTAACGTGCCGCACGGTATTCGCTCGCTCTCGAAGATAGAGAGGACGATCCAGAGGTGCGAGGAGGTACCACGCGGGAAGAGCGGGAAGGCAACAAATGGGTGTTTGCATGTGGGAGGAAACTCGATCTCACGGAGAAAACCCCACGCGTGCGAGGGGGCAATACTCTATCCCGCACGGATGGAACAGGTGGAGTGCGCATTCTTTTGGTCTACCGCCTGTTCCTGGCGAGCAAAGGGTCCGCGAGATTGCAGGGAGTGTCTAGCCACCACCGCAGGGATAATAGGTTCGCAAAAATAAATGTAGATATTTGTTTGGAGGGAAGAAAAAATAGAAATAAAGACACACTTGAAAGTACGTCTACAGTACTTGGTGCAAGCTTTGAAGGCGGGCCGGGAGACGAATGGTTAGAGGGGCGAGCAAGAGCAGGTTGTATTGTTTTTGTGTGGTTGCAAAAACTAAACTTGATAATACAAAGCACGAAACAAATGCGCCCACTAAAATACAGCTCTCAGTGCGTATTACCTGCTATGATTTGGATATGCGTTGTCTTAAATTTAAGTAAAGCTATGAATTGCCAACATGATAAGCCACTTCGTTGAGTTATAATTTGGGGTCAGGTCGCTTCTGAAAAAGAAGCTTATAGCTCAGTGGGCTTTACCTGCTAAGTTTAACAAAAACTTGTTTAGTTTAAGTTGTTTTAGTGATTTGCTTAGCTTGCATATACTTTCCACTCGTATCGTGTGTTTGTATTGTTTGTTGTTGTAGCGTTCTGACGTGCCCCCTCTGGAAATCTGTCAAAAAGAGCTTTATAGCTCATCGGATTCCTCCAATATAGAACATATTTTGATTCTCCGTACTGTACCGTATAATATGACTTTAAGGCAGTGCTCTTAAACAAGTAACGTGTTGAGCCTTTGTTATGCGTGCGTGCGCACTAGTGCCAACGGAGCAGCAGCACCAAATAATGCGTTTCATTCTGCACCGCTTTCGACATTCACTTTTCACTCATCAGCAGAGCGGTCATTTACGAATCGGTTTAGCACGTAGGCTTTCGCGACCAGTACCGTCTATAAAACAGGTGTGCTGGACTAGTAACGAGGTGGCAGGTTCTGTTTACGTGACAAACCTTACTAGTTGGCTGTGTCGGGTGGTGGCGGGTTTAACGACACATTTATATATTTACGTGCTCTAACGCCCTAAAAAAAACCCCTCTAAATTGGATAATCGAATCTCAAGTGGGGAGGGGCGGGGCTGGTGTAGGGGGTGAGGGGCGGGGTGTGCGGGGGAATCGGGGGGAGGGGGATGGAAAAAAGTGGGGGAGGGGCGGGGCTGGTGTAGGGGGAGAGGGGCGGGGTTTCCGGGGGAATCGGGGGAGGGCGAAGAAAAGTGGGGGGGGGGAGGGGCTGGCCGGAAGGAGCGGGCGCTCCCGTCATGCCGTGCGCGGGAGAGATGTCGCTCGCCATGTTGGGAGTAGGGATGAGGGTGCGGCGGCCCTAAGCGATTGTCGGCGCGGCCGCCCCCCGCCATCCGCCGGCATCGCGGGCTTCACAAGCCGTGAGTGCCCGCACCGACGGTCGATGCATGTCGGCGAGACACCGGCGGTGCTCGCCGCGCCACCATTTCGTCGATGCGCGGTCACGAAGTGTTGTAAAATATTACTGGGGGGGTGGGGGGGGGGTATGTGGAAAGGGAAAAAAAATGAAACGGCGGGCGCGGGAGGGCGAGCGGCCACCCTCCATTCTCCTTCGCCCGTCGTCCTAATCCTTAATCGTTTGTCGTTCGTCGACGCCGTTGCAGGCGCCCGGCGGGAAATGAGTATCCCGTGCGTGCTGGCGATGAACGAGACGACCTGGCAAGAGAGTCAGGCGGCGGTGGGGCCGGTGATAGTGGCCGCTCAGGGCGCCGTGGCCGGCCGCCCTCCCAGCCCGGCCCCCGTGCAGGCGCAGGCGGCGCATGCGGCGGCGGCCGCGGCTGCGGCGGCGGCGGCGGCCGCGGCGGTTCAAGCCCAGGCGCAGGCTCAGGCGGCCGCCTTCGCCGGGCGCTCCCAGGACGACGCGGCCGTGGGCTACTTCTTCCAGAGGCAGCACGGCGAGCAACTGAGGGGAGCGAGCTACGCGGGGAAGCACCGATGGCCCACAGGCGACGGGGCTGAGCAGGTGATGGACGGGGTGAGGAGAGATGGCGGTGTTTGGGTGGATTTGGTGGTGACTTTTTTGGCGGTTGCAGAGGGGAAGCGGGGTACGAGATCGGTGTGGTTGGGGCGGAGGATGGCGGTGGAGGGATTTGTGAAGGGGGGGGGGGGTTGTGGTTGATTTGCGGAGGGAGATGGTGGATGCGAGGTGGTTGGTGTCTGGTACGAGTAGCGTGTTGTATGATTTATCGAGTAGCAGACCGGGTGGGGGCGGGGGCGGCGAGGATTGTGTGTGTAAGGTGTGGTTAGGGGGTGATGAAAGTGGGGCCTGGTGGTGTGGTTGGCGCGTGGTGTGGCGAAAATGGTGTGTTTTGGAGGCGAGTGTAGTGGGTTGGTGGCCCATAGAGTCGTCGTGTGTGTGTGTGCGTCTGGCTGGTGTGCACCATGGTTAATGGAGAATGTTATATGCGATGTGACTTTGACATTTGTTGCTTTTGGATAAAGGCATGATTGTTTGCGCCTTCGAGTTTACATTGCAGTATTGGCAGTCGGTGACGTTTTGTTGGCTTGCTTCAACAGTGTGGTATGAAATGACTCGCCCCCGCCATAGGAATGTGGAATTTGCACCACTGACTCGGGGCTGTATACAGATGAGCGTCTACTATTATACTGTCGTGATCGAGACAAGTTTTGACATTTCCCCCTTCATTATATAGCCGCAATCGATTTCCACTTCCCTTCCCCCTCTTGAACCACGTGTCTTTGTTGTAGCGTGCAAGGAGAAGGATGGTAAGGCCCTTAAGTTTGTTTTAGGTCCCGACGCATTCCACAGGTCAGCTTTGCCTTTGGGTTTGTCTACTCAATAGCTACCAATCGGTAACCGTTCACATGCCAATTAAAAAAGTCTCGTAATCAGAAACAATGCATTTAACTTTCGATGTGGTCTCATGGTGTAGAGTGCAATTTCCAAATGTCATTCACTGTCTGGCCTCTAAAGAACTATTGGCCCTATCATGTTTCCTTGTAAGGCAGCGGCATTGACGAATGTCTGAGTTGTTTTGTGACTTAAAAATAATCGTGTTTGGGTTATGTGTCGCCAGTTTGAGATGACAGTGCTGGGTTAGAGGGCCACCGGTGTAGTTTCGCTCATTGCTAAGTTGGCCGATGCCACAGTTGTCCTGTTGAGCCTTTCAAATGACTGCAGTGAAGGGCAGCCATTGCTATTGTCCTCTTCTACAAGCAAAGTAGGCTTTCACGACCTCCCCCACCCCCCTGCCTCTTTTCTTTTTCCTCCGTGCCTTTCTTGTGATTGCTCAGAGCAGTGTAGTGGCCGTTACGTTTCGCGTTTAGACATTGTGACGGGCCGCAGGTGAGGAGAGAAGGTGGGGGGGGGGAGCCTCTGTGGAAAGTTCGCCCTTCGACACGGACGACGTTTCGTTGGGTTTCGAGTGCGTGCGTAATGGGGGGGGAGGGGGGGAGGATTGTGAGATCGAAATTGCAACGCGCCTGGTTCGGCGTCTCGCTTTGCAAACAACAAGCCAGCGACCATCTCTCCCCTCCTCCCCACTCCACCCCACCCCCCACGGCCCCTTTTCCTGTAGTCTCCCATGCCTTTGTTGTGACTGCATTAAGAGGTGGCCCTTACATTTTTGTTTTACTCGCCAGCGCTAGTGGGCTGCCCCGTATTGATTTTTGTAGGCTTTCTATAATTCTGGTTCCCACGGTCCAGTCCTTTGGCTCTGCTCTGTGCATTCCCCCCCCCACCTTTATTAAGATGCGAATCGCATTGTATGTCCATCTGTTGATCAGTAACAGTGTAACAAAAAAGCCTGCGCTGTGGTAAAGTATGAGTACTGCAGTTTGAGCAACACGTGACCATTGACCACATTTACACAAACGTCTACCCCTAGCTTCGAAAACTACGAGATGTTAGTTTTTTATTTATGTTTTATACAGAGGGGGGGGGGGGGGGTCACAAGACCCTGACTCCACCTCAGCTAGCTCAATTCACTTCATAAATCTGACCATGTTGTCGGCACACTCTGCCCTGGAAGCCGAGGCGAATGAGGAGAACCCGCTATCAGTCCCTCGGGGACCTTGATCCTTTATTGAGGTCACCCGTTGGTAGCTCCTTGTCTCCAACGCCTTCTTCCCCCAGGGGAGGGTGGTGGTTTCGTGGCGCGCGCTCTGTCTGCCGCCGCCGTTTTCCAAACCAGAGCAGCGAAAATAGAGGCCAGGGCTCAAAGGCCGTGTGCCAGCCCCCACCCCCCCCCCGCATGCCCCGGCCGGCGTGGTAGTGAGCAGCGGAGTTATGGGGCCGCAGATAAGTGTGGCGGCGGCGGCGACGTCGGCCTTCGTGGGAAGGGCCTCGGGTGCTTCAAAAGTTAAACGGAGACAAAGAAAAACCACCCCTTGCTCTGAAGATGGCAAACCTCCCCCCCTGTGTGCCCTCCTGCTGTCCTCAACCACCACCCCCTCCCCTTGCCATGCGAAAGCTGAACATTCTCAAGTTTCTATCCTTTGTTGTGTGTGTTTCAACTTTGAGGAGAAGAAAACAAAAACCACGTATTACTGTTATGCAGTGAGGCGATAATGAATGGTTGTGTAAAGGTCCCATGTCTTTTTTTTTATGAAGCGACGGGCTCGGTGCGGCTGGTAAGGATGCGCGCGCGTGTGCCCTTGCGTGTGCCAGTTGTGATCCATTGTTGCGCGTTCATTGTTGAAAATCCTCGATTGCTTGGAGCGCGCGTATGTGTTTTGTCCTCCCTTGTGTTGAAGCGCATCGTGTGCAGCGAGTCGCTTCTGCAAAGTAATTTTTTTTTGTTTTGTTTTTCATACAGTGCGCTTTTCCAGTGTCGTGCTTGCCAGTGGTAAGTCATTCTTGTAACTTGTCCTACTTCAAACCCTTATTGACTTGCATTTCGCGGTGACGGCCGCATTTAACGACGACCGTTATTTCGGCTGTGATGGGTGATGCCATTTGCGGTTAGCAAGTAATTGTACATTGTTGAATCGGTGGCCATTTGCATAGTCCTGGGTGGGGGTATCTTCCCACAGTCTGTAATGTTATGCAGCACAACACGAGAAGTTAAATCGGTTACTTGCGGTGTTTTATGCAATGTCACAAACTGTTGTTATGTTAACATGTCTGATGTCATTGTCAGTTGAAAGTATAATGTAAACATTGTTTGTTGTCGTGGTTGTCTCTGCATCTGCGAGTATCAGTGTGCTCACTGGCAAAGTTTGATTTAGTCCTTTAGACGAGTTTTATTGTAAAGTTGTTTCAGGGTTTTTCACCACTTAATGTAATGCTTGCTGCTTGTTAGATATATCCTATTATTTGAGCTGTGCTCCAAATGCGAAATACACATGTGTTATGTCGGTTATTACTAATTAAAATTGCCACTTGTGTGCTGGCACCACAAGGTTGTCATGGCTCAAACGGTGTGAATAAAGCTAACCCAAAATAACAATTTAAAATTTAATCCCGAGGATTTCTAAAACTCACATTTCTTTTGCAACTGGAATGAGTTAAATATTTGTGCCAGTGGGAAGTCGGCATATTACATAACAGGGTAAGTGGAGGCATTGACTGCTTTTTCAAAATGTCCCCCCCCCCATGTGCTGTGTAACCTATGGTCGACACGTGCACACATTTTGTTTGCATGGCTGCTTTGGCGGTTGTGGCGGGGTGGTGAGCCGCCTGTCGGTTTGTCCGGATCGTGGTGCCCATTTCATGGGTCGTCATTGCTTTGGGTGAGGGCAGTGGAGATGTCTTCAAGTTTTTCAGGGCCAAGGGATTTGCTTAACAAAAAAACCATGGTAATTGCTGTCCGTACCCTTCAATGCTGCAAAGGTTGGTTTGTGCCCAGGAGGTTGCCTGGCTGGTTGCTCGTGAATGCAGACGTATCACTTGTAGATCTTTTAGCTTCCAAATGTCACGAGAATTTCTGTTCTTCTTTTCCTCCCCTCCAGTGAGGAGACGAGTCTAAATTTGCTAGTTTTAGTTTGTTTTGTCACAAAGTAAATGAGTTTTACCGTACTTTGAAGGGTGTGCTGTGAAGAACTTTTTTAGCATGGGAAATAAACAATTTCTAAATAAAAAGTTACAAAAGTAATAATGTGGAGTACGGCCCACTCGGCTCACCACTATCCTCTCCAATCCCATCGCAGGCATGAGCCACTATAGGCAAGTTTACATCACCGATTTTCCCCGTGCATCATTACCGCCATGCGATTTTCCAATTAAAGCGTCCTGTGCTACCTATGGCCACGTTTAAAGTGCTTACAAAGGGAAAGAGGAAAGGGGAAGAAAAAATCGTTGGCAGCTGCGAGTGGACATGCGTGCCGCCGCGTGTCTGTGCCATGACGGGAGCGCGAGACGCTTGGCACGTGAGCTCACTAACGGCGGACGCCCCGTTCCGTCTTGAAAGCGCGGCGACACCGGTGGTCACAGCGCATGCCTGAGGTGGCGTTGGCCTCTCGAGTCCGTACCCACAGCGGCCAGGGCTTGTTTAGAGTAGGGCTACGCAGAAAAATTCCAAGTATCCGCGCCGTTGTAATAACAGACTTGGTTACTGATTATTGCATGTGCATTTATGGCAGTGTTTCCTCCCAACGTCATGAGTAAGCTGGGGCGCCGTTTAGGTGAGGTTAATGCTCGGGGATCTAAGGAGAAGGGTATTGTCCCCATCTATTTGAACTTAAGACTAAATAATGTATGAATGCCTCCTATTCATTTACTGAAATGTAATTGAGTCGCAAATGATTTGCGACTCAATTGACCAAACGTCTTGGGATGTTTGGTCAACTGCATTAATGAGCTGGTTGACATTAGGTACTAAATCATCATACCAGGAGATTAGCACAGATGCATGCAAGAAAACCATTGTTTTCATACCTTCTCCTGGCCACCTCTCAGCCCAAGCGTAGAGCAATTGCTAGTCCCCAGACAGCCTCCCATCAAAGTCACAATGAGGCTCAAGTCTGCTTACCTTTAGATCTGATGAGGTTGGGTGCATTCAGAGTGATTGGGCAGTACTTGCAGAGACAAGAACCCACCAGTACATCATCAACACTACTGCCGCATTTAAGTTTTGATGACCGTGTTGTTTGATAAATGACCCTGTTCTGGGGTGGCCTGGTGCTCGTGGATGCTAAAACGGTATCAGAAAACCGAGGCAGCACCCATGAAGCCCTGGTTTCAAATCTGAATTTCCGCAACCTGTGATTAAACCATATTTTGAAACGTAACGAGTTGATAGTCTCAGCTCAGTCACCATGGATGCTAAATAAAAAACAATTATCTTTATTAACCTAATTCTGTCCCTGATCATTTAAATAAATGTAGTTTGATGGAAATGCAATAAACACAATATAAAAGTGTGTCCCTTAGTGCCTGTGGATAAGAGGCTTGCCTCTGACGCAGAAGCAATACAGTCGGTGCTTGCTGCGAGCGGTCTTAATGGAAATGTATTTTGTCTCGTGACTTGATGCCAAAAGCACAATTGCAACATTAAAGAGCAAGAGCATAGTTCACAGCAAAACTGAGGACAAGGTAGCATAGTGCGGTGTAACACGTTATCATCTATCGCTCGGCTTGATGGATGTGACCTCCCTTGTGTTGGCACGACCGCGCCACTCGTAGGTGTGCACATCTGTTTAAGGCACAGCGGGCATAAAGTGCCCAAGTAAGCTGTTTCCTGGGTGCTGTTTGCGTGGTACAGTAGAGCGAGGTGAAGCTTTGAAAAAAAAATAACTTGCCCGCTCGTGCTCTCGTCCGTCCGCAGGTCTTAATGTGCAGTTGCCTTAGATACATGCACAAACACTCGGCCCCGTTGGAAGCACTTCTGCGTTGTTGGGACACGAATTCGCACACGTTGCGGCGAGGGCTCCGGCACAATTGTGTAATCGTCAATTTGTGCTCGGACGTACAATTTTTTTTAAATTTATAAGTAGAGACAACGTTGATTGCCCTTGAATGCCGTGTTCACCATCACGTGTTGTGACGTGAAAATGTTTATGCAAGGTGCGGCTTAATTGTGTGGCCGAAGAAAGTTATTGTTTTCAAGACTACAAAATGTTCCCAAGCTAATTAATACAATGTCTGTTCAACGTAAGCACCCTCTTACATTTCAAAACGTTTATTTGCACCATTGAGTGAAAATGCAACAAAAAAACTGAAAATATCCTGAATGGATCATCGTGATCTTCTGCACAAGCCTTATATTCTACAGCCAATTGTAATGCATGTGTCTTTTAAATTGTCATATTACAGTCGTGACTTTTTTTATAATAACCTTCGAAATATAATGGAGCACTCATTAATAACTCCATATTTGGGAATGGGGCTGAAGCAATGGGACATTATTTTCTGCTATCGTCACTCAGGAGTGTTGGGTATGGAATTCAGAATGTTATGATTTATCTCCACCAAAGCGATTTCATGGTTCATCACGTTTCAGGGTGATAATACGATTTAGTAATCAATCCTTGTTTGTACTTGTTTATTTTACCTGTAATGTCTTGCTACATTTAGCTCGGAGGATCATTAGCATACAGTTTTCAGCTTGTGCTCGTGCCACTACAAGATTGGGAAAGGGGATGTCTTGGGAAGGCCTTCATCCAGGAATTTTCCTTGGCTGATGACATGTATCGTCGGTGTGTCAATCAATTTAAATGTACTGCTCATTTATATTGGCTTTAAGGGCCACAAATAAATGTGTACTGCTATCAATGTAAACTAATATTTACATTTTATCAGGTAAGGCCCACTGAGCTATGTAGTTCTTTTTCAGAAATGACCTGGCCACAACTGATAGCTCAACGAGAAGTGGCGTATGTGGAAATTTATAGCAGCCAAATACTCTAAACGCATCTTAATTCTATAGGTGGAGGGGAAAAATGGAGGGTCCGGAGAAAAATCCACAAGACCTCGGGGAGAACACGCAAACTCCAAATATACAGGCGTCAAGGCCGGGATAGGGAACCCACGACCTCTTGTATACCAGGCGATGTAGATAACTCGCCACCGTGGTGCCCCACATGTACTGTAATTATAAAAATAGCGTGGTGCACAGCTGGTAAATAATTCGTACACTAAAGTGGGGAGAGGAGGGGAGAGGGGTGGGGGGGAGGGTACCCCCTTCATTGTTTGAACACTGCTTTTGGTTGGGTGCTACTGAAAGCAGCAATTTTAAACTGTTCTAACACTGAGCAATCGAACAGCTAGCAAAGGCCCCTATTACTGGTGCTAATTGAAATACACTTTAATTAGTCTTTTTCTCACCACACTGTTGGATTTGCACAACTGCCTGGCAAAGAAAAACCATACCATGTTGAGTGTGCAAAGCATTGCCGCATCTGCCATGGTGCGAACCCAGACTGCAATGTTAGCTAATCTTGTGTTTGCTTCCTCATTTGAAGTTGACGTGTGGTGAGGGTATTGTGGCTCTGGGCCAGAGCTTCCAAAACATTAAACATAAGAGACAACAAAAATGGTCTCTACAGCCATTGTCTTGACATGTTTATTGCGTGAGAAGCAATGCTTCACTCCACCTTCACTTAAAGATGATTGAGAGAACACATTCATTGGGTTCTCATTTGACTTTTTTATTTGAATTAGGATGTATACAAATGTACACTATGAAAGGAAACATCCTATTTCGCAATGTGCAAATGCAAGTCTTTTATATTTTGTAGATTTAAATGCATTCAAAACCCAGTGAATGTCAACTGACATGTCATTTCTACCAGACATTCCATTACAGACCGTTATAATAAGAATGTTATTGCAAAGTAAATATATAAATAGCACGATGCCAGTAGTCACTTGACAATTATTCAGTGTTTCGGAAAACTGTTGCAGAAC